ATGGCATCGGCGAATACTCCCCGAACACCTGGTGCACCGGAATCTGGCTCTGAACGTCGTCTCCGAGGGTGTTCCTCACGCAATCAAAGAAGACGAACACAAAATCGTTATGGGGGTTTTTTGGGGCGCTGAATCCGAATTTGACGTTAAAAATTATCCTCCCAACACCTGGTGCACCGGAACCTCGGGCTAAACGTCGTCTCCGAGGCAGGGACCCGGACCGAAATGAATTAAACGGTTCGGGTTCGGTTCGGGTTCTAGTAAAACTAAAATTTTTGGTCCGGTTCAGTTTCGGTTCTTTTAAAAATATTTTGGTTCGGTTCTGATCAAATTTTTCGGTCCAAATGGTTTTTTTCGGTACAAATTTTCCATGCCTTTATAATTGCTTATAAAGGACAAACATTACAAATATAAAAATTTTTGTTTTAAATAGGTAGTATAATTTTATTTAATACAAAACTTGAAAAATAATCCTATGAACTGGCAAGAATAAAAAATAATAATAATAAGTGAGGCCTATAATACCTTAAATAATAAATCTTTGCACAATGTATTTGTTATCTGTTGGCAAAAAATCAAAATGTTGATGGGCTATATTAGAAACTTTTCTCCCCATTTCCACTGAGGTTTGATATTATAAAATTAAATATACCACTCCGCATGTGGTTTCCACCTACATCCAAAAGGAAAGTTCGGACACACAAGTTCCGTTCACTCCTTCAACTCTTTTAACTCCAAACGACCCTTTAAACGTTCGGTTTGGTCCGATTAGTGACAGTTCAACACGCTTAAATGTCATTTAAAATCGGATTTCTTTTTTATCGTTTTATAAAATGTCTGGTTAGCTAATGTGACTATTCAGCCACAAATAAAAATTAATAGTCAAAATAAAAAACGTAACAATATGAACAACGAAACCGAAAAAAAAAAGGTAAAACCGTTTGAAATATTAACGATTCCGGTTCGGTTCTAAAAGTTTCATTCTTGATAAAATAACGGTTCAGTTTCGGTTCCGGTCCAATAAAAGTTTTCGGTTCTTGTCCGGTTTTCCAGACACGATCGCAAAAGACTAACCGAAAATCGTCTCATAATTTCACACATTGATGTGCAACTCTTACCTGGGGCACTCGAAAAAGTTGATCCAGTCCTGTCAAATTTTAATTTCCGGGTTTGAATAGAGCAAGGAAAATTACGGGAATAATATCTGGCTAGATCTCCGAACTTTTCTGAGCGGCCTTTTACTTTTCTCCCAACGCTCGAAACGCTTTTAAGTAAGTATAAACAGACACTTGCTCCAGGCCCCGTCCACAAACGTCCAGGTTCGGGCACACCAGGTATCCGGAAGGTGTTCGACGATGCCACATTTGAATTCAGCGACTCAAAAAAACCCGCCGAGTTTCTCTCCTTCCCCGCGTGAATTTTGGGAGAGTCCCACGGAGATGACGTTCAGAGCCAGGTTCCGATGCACCAGGTGTTGGAGGGGTCGTTTTCAACGAGAAATTCGAATTCAGCGCCCCAAAAAAACCCCATAACGATTTTCGGTTTGTCTTTTCGATTATGTGAGGAAAAATCACGGAGATGAGGTCCGTGTCCAGGTTCCGGTACACCAGGTATTCAGAGGGTCGTGAAATTTGAATTCAGCGCCCCAAAAAACCCTCCCACAATGATTTTCGGGTTGTTTTTGGCGATCTTGTCAGGAAAATTATCGGGGATGACGACCACGTCCGTGTTCCAGCACACCAGGTATCCGGGGGTATTTGAATTTAGCGACACAAAAAAACCCCGGACGCTGAGTTTCTCTCCTTCCCCACGTAAATTTTGGAGGGTTCCACGGAGACGACGTTCATCAGTATTCCTGAGCTCCATGTCATCTGTGGGTCAATTTTAACATCATAATCGTGATCAGCGACCTCTAAACCCCCGGGAACCCGATTTGGGCCAGTTCTGACTCTTATTTACAAAGTTCTTTAATCTTCCAAAAGCCGTCTCAAAAAATGCAGTTTTTGAATGCGATTTTGGCTGCAGCACTGCAATTTCCAGTTTGTATAAACAAAAATTTTTGGAAGCGAATGCAAAAAACCGCATTCTGATCAGTCTTAATCTAAAAAAATCCGAACTTTTGGCCTTTTTAGTAGTGTTTCATTGCCTCGACTAATAGAATAAAGTAGAGACTACATAAACACTATTTTGCTACAGTTTATAGCTAAAGAATCAGTTCGCGAACTCTGTTTCGGCACTTTTGATCTCAATGTTTCAGTTTATACATTGTGCAACTCGGATTTATATCCCTGGCGCATACAGAATCAAATCATAATAGCCCAAGAGCCCACTGCCAATGTTTACCGTCATCTGATAACAAAAATAAAATTTACCCCAAAAGCATGTAACAACATTGTACTTTATCAAAATGGCACCTGTGCCAATCCCAATCTTAAGCAATGCGGTTAAAAAGAATAATTTTATATTAAAAAAATCACATAATCATAGGCATGAAAGCAATGATTTTGTTTGCCCTTAAAGTTTTCCAGAAAATAACATATTCAAACATATCTTGATATATATCGTTAAAGAGAAACATTTTCTTCCTCTTAACATCGTACAAAAACATCTATCCACGATTAGTAGGTAAAAATCATTAAAAATATGAATCAATTTTTGCTGATTTAAAAATTTTTCCTACGACCACTTAGGAAAGTGACACCTATAGCACTGTTTAGTCTTATGGGAAGTGCCAAATTAAAAATAATACTCAAAAACTTGGAGGTTTGTTACATAAATTTAAGTACTTACGCGACTTTTTAAATGAAGATCAGCTAAAAACTTTATATTTTTCTTTGGTGCAATCGTACCTTACTTATGGGATTATTGGGAGGGGTGGTGTTGCAAACTCCCATTTAAAGCAGTTGAAAAATATACAAAAATGGCTAACCAAGCTTATATACAAAAAACCTATAACTTATCCTAGCGGCGCAATATTCAGTGAAAGTACATTTTTTGATATGAGACAGCTATACTGCCTGCCAAAACATTCTTATAAACATTTTTAAAAGAAAAATTTAAGTAACTTCTTCTCAACATAATTACCCTACTAGAGGTAAATGCACTTACCTTTCAATGACCTCAGAGACTGTTGGTCAACGCTGTACGAATTACTTAGCACCAAGATTATCCAATATGTTACCAGACTACATAAGGGATATTAATAAACTCTCACGTTACAAATATTCTATAAAAAACTGGATAGCAAGTAATAACAGATATATTTTTAATCACCCAACTGATTAAAAAAAAAACAAAAAACCAAAAAAACAAAAAAAAATGTGTATGATCCGATCATGATTTAACTACCGATTTACATCTGAAAAGAAGAGAGAAATAACCAATAACAATAACACCAAGAATTGGTGGCTATATTGAAAAAAAAATCAAATGAAAATATTAAGATTTAAATAATTTTATATCCTGAGGTGTATTAAACGAGTCTTCAAAAGTTTAATGAAAATGGTTAGTAAGGAGAGGAGATGATATACCATAGAAATATTCAAAATAATGGGGTACTACCATAGACATCATATCCGATATCTTTGGGTACTACTAGACTGACATTAGGATGGCAACAAGAAAGCGCCTTAAGTAGGTCCGAAACAGTTAGGTATAGGACATAATACATAAAATATATCTAGAATTTTCTGAAGAATCCAAAAATTAAATAACATACAGGGTGTTGCATTTAAAATAAGAAAGTTGGTATTGGCCACTGTTACATGACACACTCTGTATAAAAAGTTTTTGTTAGGAAAATACGCAACTAAAAATACCAGTCGACGTGTCCGAGATCTTTTCCGAACATGCCCCTATTTATTTATTACCAAATTTATTCTGTTAATTTTAATGTTTTGTTTTCAATTATCTACAATCTTCCTTTGTTTTTAGAATATAGTACAATGTACCAAATTAAACAATCAAAAACAATAGATTCGTACGTATATACATTGCTTTCGAATTAAATGAATACAAAATAGCTTTAGGCAAATAAAAATTTCAACCTGCACGTGTTGAATGACCTTCTAAAAGAAAATATTTGTTAGATGGAATTTTACTTATGGAAAAAGTTACATGCGACAATATAAAAAATAATGAAGCTGAATTATTGTCAGCTGTGAATTTTTGTTAATCAAATGTTTGTCATTTAAATAAAAAGTACAGGCTTATATTTACAGTGTTAAATTTTATATATTTTATATTACTAAATTTTCTTTTGAATATTTTAAAATAACTTAATACCAAATTAACCTCCATAACATTTTTTTGTTAAAATTTTCGTGACGTTGGCATTGTGTCGTTTAGTTGTAGATCAAAAGAAAAGAGACGTGTGGTGTGAGGTATGGAAGGGATAAGATATAGGATATTTTCGAGCGACGGTGGAGTTTCTAGTTAATTGCTCTGGCGTACCACTAGAATGGAATATAATACTTTAAATATAAACCTGTAAAGTGTTATTTTAATCCCGTGAAAGATTTTGTGTTTTATAATCAATATAAATTTATGAAGCAATAGTATAAATATTTTTTCTGCAAAATTAAAATTCGTCAAGCAAGTTTTTAATGCATCAACGATATATAAATTTAGAAGATATTAAAATAATACGATTTTGTATGTTTCTGATATATACCAGTGTTGGCCGTACAAAAGTAACCTAATTAAAAAATTGAAGGTAATTAAGACATAATAAATAAAAAATCAAAAAAGTAACAGTGTAGCCATCTAACATAACCGGGACACTTCCTTTTAATAAAATAAAGTAGAGGTAGTTATAGCTTACCCAAGCTTACCAATACGACCATAGGTGAAACATTTTTAAGAATTTTATAATTTTTGCATTTAATAAAAAGATACCTAGATAATTTCATTTATTTATATATTTTCACACCCCTATTTTTTAACCAATTTTTTGTCGATTATGACGGTTTTTTCATAAAAATGTAAACATTATTTTCCAGATGTACGAGATCCTCCATGGCTCACAGGATCAGCTATTTCCTAAGACTAAAAGGACCTGCTTACATAGCCGATACTGCCTGCAGTAGTTCGCTCTTTGCTTTAGAGGGCGCTTTCAGAGATTTGAGGTTAGGTGTGGTGGATACGGCCATTGTATGCGGAGCTAATGTCTGCTTTCATCCATTTGTCTCTTTACAGTTTGCCAGGTAATAATTCTATTTTCTTGTAAGAAAATACGATTCATTTTAAGGATGAGATATTTAAAAAATTATCTATTAACTATTTTATACTATCTCCTCTTCATACAAATCTTATTTTAGAACATTAGAACTTATAACCTGATAACATTGAAACTTAGAACCTTGCAACTCTAGAACCTTAAAAAACTATAAACTAAGAACCTTAGAACCTAGAACATAGAACCTCTAACTTAGAACATAGAACCTGTAACCTATAACTTTAGGAAACCTAGACCCTAATAACTAGAACATTAGTATCTAAAACCTTGAAATCTAGAACTTTAGGAACATAAACTTAGAACCTAGAAAGTTGGAGCCCTATCAAAGAACCATAAATTAAAATGTAAAACTTTTAAACTAAATAATGATTTCTAGTTGGCCCACCATTCATTTAGGCATTTTATCAAATTTTAAATATGTAATTATTTTTGTTTATTCTTAGATTAGGTGTCTTAAGTTTGGACGGTTCCTGTAAAGTCTTCGACAAATCTGGTAATGGCTACGCCAGATCAGAAGCTATAGGTGCTATTATTTTACAGAAAGCCAACGTGGCTAAAAGAAAATATTCGGACGTTGTCTACGTTAAAACCAACTGTGATGGTTTTAAGGAAGCTGGAATAACATATCCATCTGGGGAAGCTCAGTGTCAACTCCTGACAGAGTTTTATAAGGATTCAGGGGTTGATCCTGCATCTTTAAGTTTTCTGGAAGCTCATGGAACAGGTAAATATTTCCAATCTAAAATCTCGATACTTTTCTGAAGCAATATTAAATCGGTTAAATATTTTAGGTACATTTGTCGGTGACCCAGAAGAATGTTCTGGAGTAGATGAAGTTTTAGCTAAATGCAGGACGGAACCTTTGCTTATAGGTTCTGTGAAATCTAATATAGGTCACTCTGAACCCGCATCTGGAATTTGCTCTATCACCAAGGTGAATATACTTATTATAAATATGGAACACATTTTTAATTTGATATCTACTTCTAGTGTATCATTGGCATGGAGACTGGATACATTCCACCAAATATTCATTTCACCGAACCTAGAGATACCATCCATGGAATTATAGAAGGCAGAATGAAGGTGGTTACGGAAAAAATGCCATTCCAAGACAAAAGAGGACTTATAGGTATGAGATAGTATATAAAACAATTAACTAGTTTTAAAACCATGCGATTCAGTGAACAGTGATGAAGACAGACGTAGGAAAAGAGTACTATTTTTTATCTCCCTTTTGACACATTGTTTTTCACTGACACGCATTACAAGCAAAATAATTTTAAACAATTTTATTTTAAAAGTCGGTTATGTATACTGACTTAAAGTTTAACCAATAGAATTCAAAATTGAGCACATCTCCAACATAACTGGTAATCGTGGTTATTACAAATAGAAGTGAAACCATAGCATTACTTGTCTCACATCACTAAAAGATGCACCAAGCATCCGTTATCTTACGTTAAAAGCTGGCAATTTTATGTTTTAAGTTCTAAGCACAAATAAATACTTCTCTTATTATACTGAAAATTTAAGTTATAATTTAGAATCATAATTTATGGTAAATGCATTTTTTTTATTGTTCTAAATCAGCGTCCTTTTAATCTCTACATACAATGAGTGTTACACATTAGAGCAGTTGGATACACTTCTTCATTTATCAACGTTATTTGTAGGAATTAATAGTTTTGGATTCGGTGGTGGCAACTGCCACGTTTTGTTAAATTCTAACAAGAAAGAAAAAGTTAACAATGGCCTCCCAGATGACAATATACCAAGAGTTATATGCATTAGTGGTAGAATTGAGGAATCCATTACTGCTCTTTTAGATGAAGTAAAGAATAATGGATTGGACGCTGAATATATTAGGTTGCTGCATGATGTTTTCAGGTATATGACTTAAAATTATCATGTTTTTTTGTACCTCTAAGTAGATATATTTTCAATAGCAAAACACAAAATTTTGTACCACATACAAATTCATTTATAAATGTAAAAAGAGGAGTGTCAGCAATATCAGCAACCGGTTTCTGCTAGATAGCCATCATCAGACCTCAACATTAACTTTTATGTTAGGTTTTTATTATCGCGACGAAGAAAACGAAGAAAAGAGAAGGTAGGAGGATAAACAGAGAGGATGTTGTTAATAAAAGAGGTAATTAGATAAAGTTGTTAAAACATTAACATCAAATTGAAGGTGGGAGAACCGTAAGATTGGTATGAATTAAGTGAACCAGAATATTCACTTTCAATTTGACATTGATTTTTTAACAAGCCCATATAATTAAATCTTTTATTAACCATTTAATCCAATTTTTCTTCCCTTTCGTCGCTATGATAAGAATCACATAATTTAGTATTAAGGGCTGATAATTGCTATCTAGTCGCAACCAGTTGCCGACCCTCTTCCTGTTAAGAATAAGAAAAAGAGAATAAACAAAATAGTTTAATAAAGAGAAAAAACCATAGAAGAACTAAAACAATTGTTAAATGTTTTTGTTTAACTAAAAAAAAATATCAGTTGGCCATTAAATATACTATAATTTTCGAGCCCACTTGTCTAACTCCCATAGACCTTTTCATCATGTAATGAGCGCAAGCGCAGCTGCCATGTTGAAATAGCGCCAATTCAAAAGTTTCGTACTGTTTTGATCAACAATGGCTGGAAAAGCAATATTATCTTTATATACAAATCAATCATTAGAAAAAATCGTTGATGGTGATTTAAATTTTTATAACTCTGTGGAAGTACATAGTGGTGAGCAATTAAAAAGGTTCTTAAAGTGACGTGCACGTTCGGAACAAGGAAAAAAGGGGTGGTGATTGAGAGGTTAGGTTTCAATACATATTAACTGTGTAAAAAATTAATGAATACAAATAGTAATTATAACTCTATTCTAATTAATTATGCCAACCAACTATTAATAATTGCAAAAACACTTTCAACATGAAAGTTAATCACGAGTATAATTAATAAGATAAATTATTTAAAATTTTAAGGATCAACACGACATTTTTAATAATATTACTGTATATACCGAAGTAGTATTTAATATTGAAAAATATTGTGTAATACCAGACAAGGATTTTCTTCTGTTGAACCACTGTCTCCATGAAAATGTAGTGAACAAATAAAAGTATATTTAGTAACATCATCCATCAATCGATCGAAAACCTTTGTCACTTCGACCACATTTTTTCACTCATAATACTCATTTTGAACATGTTTTAATATGTACTTTGCCTAATGATTTGATAGTTTTTTACGATATTGCAGGCAAGTATTTTTATAAAATAATAATCTATACCGTGTGTCACTCTTTTACATACTCAAACAATACCGTTTAGTTTTTCCTTTTCGTAAAGGTAACATAATTAATTGATTGCAAAATTGATTTTTCAATTAAGACACTTATTACTTTACTTTTTTTATCCCATTTTTTAAACGAATACACTTAAAATTAATATTTATCAATTATAATTTTTTTCACGTGGACATTTTAACATGCTGTTTACAAAAAGCAGTACGAAAAATATGGTTGATACTGACGTATGCGCACAAAAAAAATTGTGATGAAAAGGCCTATTTGGCAGTGTCCACTTGCTCTCGCGTCTAGTTGTTCGTGCCCACTTGTCCTAGATCGTACAATATTTTGTGTGTTTGTTTTATTGATGGTACTTTGACCGCATTTAAGAAGATGGATAAACTGTTAAATTTAAATATATTTTGTTCGTAGGAAAAATATTTCAAACCACATTTACAGAGGCTTTTCCATATTAACGAAAACGGAAGAAATATGTAGATTTTATAATCTGTTCTCTGGAAGTAAGACCCCACTGTATTTTGCATTTGGGGAACTGAGTGAATGGTATAAACTAGGAAAAGATCTAATGGAGATATCAGTTTTTTCCGCCACTATTCAAAAGTAAGTAATAATTCAGTAGTTTGCGCAATAAGTGTGAATATGATGACTATATCCCACAAATGTGAATTTTGACAATCCACTCGAGTTTATTGAAATGCAATGTTTTTAAAATAATGACTATTTTAAATATGACTAACTCAAAGATTTTATTTTTTTTTTATTTATAAAATAAAATAATAAAAAATTGGCCTCGCCAAGGATTCGAACCTCTAGACCTTTCGGAACATCCGACCTAGGATCTTTCGAACGGATCCTCATACCCTCAAACTCAGGGTTGCCACCTGCGCTTTTTTGAAAATAAATTGTCCTTGTGACTTTTTAAAGGTTAAAATGTTTTTTTACGGCACATGTCCTTTTTGACAGCACATGTCCTTAAAAAGAACCTGGTTTATAAAAATAAAATCTCGGCAGAGGGACCCGGGCTTTATTAAAAAATATATATAAGCTGATAGATGCTCGCCAGTAATTCTCGTTTTTTTTTTTTAAACGAATCCCTGTCGTCACCGTTACTCCTTTATTTACTTTTGAAAAAGGTGACAATCCTACTTAAACTGTTAATAATATCTCATAAATTCGTACTCATTCTATTGTTTGTGCACAAAGCGGATAATATACGTGTGGATGTAGAAAAAAATTGTAAAAATATCAAATTTAATTTTAATTTTATTTACAGGGCACAAAGACTTCTTTTATCGAAAGGGATAAATATAATAGATAGCATTTTCGGAAAAACAGAATCAAAAACAAAATACCAAGCCTTAGGATCCATCTTAGTTCAGATAGGTTTAATAGACATCTTCGTAGCCTTGGAATTACAACCAACCAATTATTTTGGCAAATCCTTTGGTGAAATTCTTGCAGCATACTTTGATGGCATTTTAACTTTTAAACAGACTATAGATTGTGCGTTCGCCATCAACGACGCCATTGATAAAATTAACGAAGGTGCCGAAAAACATCGGGTAAGGTTAAGCAAAAAAATTCTTCGAATAATCTAAATAATTGTTTTTATTTTTTGTAATTTTAGGCGAATAATAAGATAATTGACAACAAAGCTGAAAGTACTGTGTTTTCTAACTTCAGAGCTGTCTTTAAATCAGCGGACTATGCTACGACCAGTAAGTTATTTTAAAATTTCGAATAAAATACATATATTTTTACATATATTTTACCAATTTACAAGTATCATTGTTGGCTAGTTGTTGTACTAATGAGTGAGACAAAATATACCCAGCTATGAAATATTGTTATAATTTTGTTTCAATTTCCTTGACAACTGTCAAAAGTAAAGTCTTGTATAATATTAGAAAGATACAGAATTTTGTTATGGAGCGTCATTATATTTAAAAAAAGTGAAATAAATAGGTTTAAATGGCACTCTGCCAACTTCCTAACAACTTATTTGTAGTAACTGAAATTGCAATTCATAAAACACTTTATTTTCAGAAAAAGAACTGCTTACCAACCTTTCAAATATATTGGATAAGCCAAAAAGTCACAACATCGATAAAGACAAAGAGAAATTTGGATCGGCTGAATACTTCGTCAACGCTTTGACAGAAAATTTCCCCGCCAAATTCGAATATGTCGAAAGCAACTCGATAGTGCTCAGTTTCGGTGCTGTACCGACCATTGACTTGCAGCTAGACGATGTTAAAGTCATACAAATCGGCTCTTCTAAAGATAATTTGCTGTCCTTCCTAAAAATTCTAGGAAAGTAGGTATAATTTTAAGAATTTTGACAAGTGACACTGTTTGAAACTTATTTACTACTAAGGCGATTTTAAATCATTTACTACGCATCTGATTTAAAAATGTTTGGTTTATATTGACATTAACTTGACAATGTGCATGACGTTGTCAGATATTGCGAATTTTTGTTTATGTATGTGTATTGTAGTTAGGATTTGGTTTTAAATTTGTAAGAATAAAAAATAAATACTTGTTTTGTGTACTGATCATGGATGAAGAGAAAATTGGTGTTGTAGTTACTTTGGCATTTGAAATTTTATCAAACCTTTTGCCATGTTCATCAATTTATAAAAACCTTAAAGGCGTCCATATCTAGGTACTTACCCTTTCTTTAAATTTTACAAATAACACAACCAAACAATGATTTAATTATTAAAAAGTAAAAGTTTTACATTTATCATTTCATTTGACATTTCAAACCTGTGATGACTAGGTTTTTACTGTAGTCAGGTTAAACTTGACTATTTAAAGACAATATTCAATATGACGTCATTGTTTTTGTTTTATATCAGTGTAGTCATTCATATTCAAGACATAGTATCTGATTTAAAATCGCCTCTAATATTAGTGCAATAAAAATAGTTGTTTTCGAAAAAAATAACTGTTTTACGGGATTATATTTCATGGATCATTAGGTGACCATAAAAGAAGCTTAAAACCAAATTTTCATTTTCTTTATCCCGAAAAAATGATTTGGAAGTCAAAGTGGAAGTCCTACTATAAAGGAACACATTTTAACAGCTTATAACTTGGTGTAGTTTCCGCTAAACTTCTTAGATTTTGTTGAAATATTTCCTAAATGTATATTTTTTCCGAAACTGCCGAAAAAAAGAGGCCTTCTTTTAAGCAAAAATATCAGTTTACTTTAAATAGACCATTCTAGATTTTCATACCGTCTGAAAGTTTCTTTCTTCTCCTTTCCAAAAATGTACACATTGTCATTCGTCAGAGGTTTGGTGGAGATATTTATTTATTTATTTATTTTTTCTTTATAAACCTACGTCAAACAAAAACCTGCAATTGTAAGATAATGGGAATTTTCTGTTTACGTTTATTCATTTTATGCCTATATTTTCTAGTTTACTTCAAATAAATGATCTGATACTCTTATTCAACTATATCATTTTTACAAAGCCGTCTGGCATAATAGACATCGTCTTGTCAAGGGGACTTTGAAAGAACGATAACTGACAGGAACGTCACATAGTTTATGTAAAGTAGATCAAGAACCTTCACATTCAGATTTATTAATCTAAAATGCATACTTCAATGGAAAAAGCACGGTGCGTCATATTATTTGTTGTGACAAAATCAATCCGAAGGAGATTCATGCACGACAATCGACAATAAAACCAACAATTATATAGAATCGAATACAAATCAATAAGAAAATATACGAGCAAGCCATAACAAGTTAGAACTACTTTTTGTGCGACTGCTGTATCCTAGAGAGTGGTGGCGAATCCAGAGTTTAAGTCTGGGGGTAGTGGTAATAAAGTTTAAGTCTGGGAGGGTAGTAAATTTTGGTACCTATAGAAAATTAGGTTTAAACATTCTTGGGGGGTAATTACTCCCATTATTCCCTCCCCCCATATATATATATATATATATATATATATATATATATATATATATATATATATATATATACGCCCCTGCTAGAGAGTCAGCAGTAACGCCCGTGTCAGCAAAGAAGGGTTTTTAATGAAGAGTAAAGTTTGGCCGGATCTCATTTGGACATTTTAGTGGAGTCAACAAGTAGAAGCTACTAAAGTTGTAGCTAAAAGTTTTATAGACAAATAAATTTCTTAATTACTTAGTTGGAGGGAAGTAGCAACTTTTGAAACACATTGAGACTTTTAAGATATGTTTCCTATAGGAATGACCGACGCCCAGAGCTGCCTCATAGCGTCTGATGCCTAATACTGCTCGTCGTTAATATATCCGTTTCTTCTCGAGCGTCAGACGCAAGCGTCAAACGCTGGCGGTTACGGATGCTGCCACGCTACTAGTCGAGGCTAGTAATGTAATCATTTGAATGCTAAATCATTCGAATATTCGATTATTACCATCATTCGAAATAATTTGATTTTACCAATATCATTCGAATCATTTGAAATGTCTGAAATTGTAATTAACAAACGAGAGTCACTTGGGGACCTATTTTAAAACTATGGGATTACTCATTTCTCTCAGGATTTTCAAGATAAATGTCATACGTCAAAGTGGAAATACTATTTTTAAGAACAGTGAGAAGTGATGACTGTTACTCTCAGTTTTTTTGAGAGAATTAATATTCTCCTAAAAATGTTATTCCTCACTGGCTTTCAAAATACTGTTTTCACGCTGACATATGACATTTCTCATGAAATTCTTGAGGGAAACCATTTCTCTCGAGTTTGAAAATGGGTCTTCAGGGGACCTATTTTCAAAATATGGGAGCACTCATTTCTCTCAAGATTCTCATCAGAAATGCCATACGTCAATGTGCAAACGCTGTTTTTAAAGGCCTCGAGTATTAAAATTCTTAGGATAATTTTAATTCTCTCGAAATAAACCGAGAGAAACAGTCAGTGAGTTCACACTGGCTCTTAAAATACTGTTTTACGTGACATTTTTCTCGAGCAAAATTAATTCTCTAGAGTTTGAAAATAGACTCCATGATGACTTGTTAAAATATGGAGTATAATAGGCACCCACAATTGCTTATATTCCTTAAGTAGGATACACATGCAACGTTTTTGAGTCTTCTCTTTTAGAGTATAACGTTCTAATTGGCTAGATCTTTGTCAAGTCGGGGAATCACCCAACTACTCCAATCAGAACGCCACGCGCCAACGCCATAAGAAAAACGATTGCATGATAAATATTGACGTGTGACGTTTTAGACTTATGCTGCGTTTGGATATCCATATCCGATGCATTTTTTACATCTCGAGCGTTTGTTTATCCACATCGGACACATCTACTACATCTACATCTGCGTTTGTTTATCCGAGATGTAGCTGTACAGATTACATTTTTTTACATCTCGATTTGAAATGAGATGTGAATGAGATGTTCGCTATGCCAGAAAGTAGGTGTTCTGGAAAGCCAAGTTTATCAATTTATCCTTTGTTTATGTTAGCGGGAATATAAAAGTGATTAGTGTGTTTAATTTTTGTTTAGATTTCAAATTTAGGTTGATTTCTAGTTTCAAAAATCAAATTTAAGAAATATAAAATTCTAACTTGCCATTATCATTTTATCACGTGACCAAAAAGGTCTAGAGCGTGCGTTTATTACATCTACATTTAGATTTAATCTTCTAAACACAGCATTAAATGTAATGCTTTCTAATTTTGACACATTGATCTTGACCTACCAATTGATAACGGCATATAATAAATAAATACTCGATGAATTCGATTTTTAATCATTCGAGTATTCGATTATGACGATCATTCGATTATGCCCATCACTAGTCGAGGCCGTCAAGCAGCAGCCGCAGATTGTGAAACTCATGCTTGTACTATGTTCAAAGTGTTGTTTACTACAGAGGAAGAAAATACCCCTGTCTTTAAGATTTACAATTAAAATTAATAAATGTCTATTTATTGAAGTTTGAAAAGCCTTTGAGAAGCCTTCGTCAGTTCTAGTTTTAAATAAAAAATAAAACTGTGCATTTTCTTTGTAGATGCTTACTAGTAAAATTTATTTGTTCTCAATTTCTTCTAATAGCAAATCCGGTAACAATAACGTTTCGTTTTCGCACATTTTACCTAAAAGAGTCAAAAAACTGCTAGACATTTTGAGAACCTTTACTTTTATTATTTGACTTTCGTAATTCAACATCTTTTTTGCTAAATTTTTATCAATATTTGCATACAATGATTTAAGCACGCTTCAGTAAACCACAATATAAATGTTTTTCAAAACTCGATATAAAATATGATAACCCAAAATTTGGTTTTAAATTTTTCTTTTTCTTTATCACATGATTTTCCTAACCGTTCACATAACTACCAATTTTTACTAATTGAAGCATTAACCTCAGATATTTTTCTTATTAGTCTATACGTCAACGGCTACAATCCGCAACTGGCCAAGCTGTATCCTGAGGTGAAATTTCCTGTTAGCAGAGGTACTAGAATGATTTCGCCTTTCATAAAATGGAACCACGATCGTGATTGGTTTACGCCTTCGTACAATTTACAAGCAACCACTTCTGCACAACATACCGCTAGGAAAATTAAAATTCAAATAAGCGATCAGCAGTGGGCCTTCACACAAGGTCACGTCATTGATGGTAAGTAAAAAATTTAACGAAAGCGATACAGCACAATTATTTGTAATTTGAGATCAACTAAGCAACAATAACGTGATACGCTAATTACGTACTGTATTATTTGACATATAAGCATGCACAGATCAAAATATATACCAAATTTCGCTAATACCGTTAACACAAAACGGTAATTCTAGTTTAAGGTTAGGTTATGCAAAATAAGGACAGCCGAACATTTGATCAAATACATTTAATTGAAAACATTTGATCAAAGGCATTTGATTGCAAAAACAATATATCGAATAACAATTATTGATCGAAGAGGAAAATGATTAAAACAAATATAATCGAAAAAAAAAATTATCGAAAATAGATTTGATAGAAAAGGAAACTGACCGAAAAACAAAATATGCATAAAATTGATAAAAAAATAATTTACTTAACATGCGCGTGAGCGATAGAATAAATTTAAATGGTTCTAGGCCGCACAGATTAGGTAAATAAGTTAATTTATTTTTTTAGTTATTCTTATTTTTTGTATAATTTTATTTTGCGAAACAACTAGCGATAGCTCCAGGCCACACAGGTTAGGTAAATAAGTAAAAGAATAATAAAAATGAAAAGCTCACACTTAATAGTTATCCTACTTGAAATCAACATCTTACTTGTTTTGTCTCGCAAATGTCTCTGACACTAACTTTAAGAAGTCATATTTTTCTTGCTTCTAGATTATTCAAAAAAATTTCTCTTGATATTCAACAAATAAACTCGCCTACAATGTTTAAAAGTAGAATTAAATAAAGGCTGGTAACTAAATCTAATTATATACTTGCCTCTTTTCTGAATTAGGTTCCTTTGGTATTGAAAAAGAAAAAGAAAAAACAAGAAACAAAAAACAAACAAAAAAAATTAAAAAAATAAAAAAAAACAAAAAAACGGCTGAAAATTATTTGTTTTTCTATACCTATCTGATCCTAAACTGTATTGTTTGTTGTAGTAACGCATCATTTACAATTAAAACTAAATAAAACTTAAACTGTGAAGGTAGTGGTGGTTTTCATATGCACGAGAAGTTATACGGAGTGGCCCAAAAGTCGGGAAACGGCCAATTATCTTGTAAATTGCTAGTCCTAATTATACAAAATTTGGGGTACACCTATTTTGGGATACGATGATTCCAGATTTGATATTTGCAATGTTGCCAGATTTGCCGTTTTTCTTAAATAATTAGTCACATTGGTTTTTCAAATTCATCACTCTGTATATTCAGTCATTATTGAAATCTCCTATTCAATACGAGTTTAACACTTATGATTTTATGTAGTCGAAGGTCTTAAATAAATAAAACAATCATGGAGAAATGTGGTAGAAGCATTCTACCATCGATTAGGATACTGTCAACTCACAAATGAAGCACATTTTGAACACTTGGTAAAGTAACCATTATGTTAAAAATGTTATAATCTTTTAATTATTACGTTTTAATGCAGTTGAACATAGTTTATATTAAAAAAATTATTGAGACAATTAGGCGTTGCCAAACTTACATTTTGACCTATTAAATTATGCAAATTTATTTTACAAATTCCTAGCCCTAACATTTTCAGCCCATTCCTACCAATAAAAGGTGGTCCACCATTTTATATGACGTAAGTTTTTAATACATAAGGTCGATTCTCAAATGTTATATTAAGATTTAAAAATCCTAAGGGTTCAAAAGTCATACCTATATACATAGTCTTTAAGAGATAAATCATTTTTTTCCAAACAAATATTTTTAAAATGTTCAATGTAAATTTTCTCAGAAATAGCTGAATGTGCAGAACCTGAGTCAGCTTCATAATTTAAGGAAATTCTAAAATCAATTTTATAAACGTTGATTTTACATTATTAATTTGAAAATCGTCCGTACCTTGATTTAATTCCTGTAAATTAAAAATTGACTTTTTTACACTCTGAATCTTGTGAAAAAGAAATTTCTGGGTAATCAGTTAAGAAATGTTGATTCCTACTTCTACACTGTGAGGCCAAATGCCCTTTTGTTTCACACTTATAGCAAGTACAACTTTTGAACGCACAATCAGTCGCAATATGATTGCTTCTTCTGCACAACACACATTTCCTTATAGTTTGATTAAAAGGTTCACTTACCGATAGGTTTCTTTCTTTATTTTTCTTTCCCAAGCCAGATGTTGAAGGTCGATTGTATTGAAATGACTTAGCATCGCTCTGCATTCTTCTAGGATTTTGTTGATAGAAATTTAATTCATCTTCTTGTTTAATATGAAGGGCTCCTATAAATTGCCTTAACGAATGCTCTTTTAGTGCAGACTCTTTAGACAATGCTAACTTTAGCATATTTTTTAATGCAACTAAGACTCTTCAAGCATCTTCTTCAAACAAGCGGTCCAAAATTTTATCGCCATTCATTCCAATTACGAAAATATCTCGCATCACTATGTTCAATTCATTTCCGAACGCGCAATTTGAAGCTAACTTTTTAATTCGAGCTTCCCAATCAGAAACACTTTCACTTTTTTCTCTTCGAGCAGAATACAACTTTAATCTTTCCCCGAATAATGATTTTACCGGTACACAATGTTCGACTAATGAACCAATTAATTGCTCATAATTTTTATCAGATGGCAACTCATGAACACACAAATTTCTTACTAACAATTTTCTGATATTGTATTTAATAATAAGCCTTTTTTTCTCTCTGGTTCGGTAATATTATTTGCTATAAAAAACTGGGTGAGCCTTTCTCTAAACACTGAAAAATCTCCATTTTCACTAACACACTCGTCTATCGCTACCGCCAGTATAGATTTTGCACGTGAATTCAATAAAAATCCCATCCTCGTCGCCAATGTTTTATTTCGTGGTATTTTATCTAATTTGAAATAAAACCCGTATTTGCGTATTTGACAATTTATTCAATACTGTTAAATTAATAATTGGTGTTTATAAGAAATCGGAGATAAGGAAACCACTTTTTATGGACCTATATACAACAGACTCGACCAATCGACGATTTAGTAAGCCGGGGCATCGTCGCGATATACACTTGTGATCTAGGTTTTTTAATGATGAGTTAAAATTTGTTAAAAACATTTATTTCTTGACTGATTGCTACGTAAAATAGTGTTTTTAAAGTCAATGTTGTTTTATTTATTTCCAGTTACACTTGTTACATGCATTTTTAACTTCTAGTAGTATAACGATAATATTTATATATTACTATTTTACCAATAAATTAGTACTAATAAATATTTAAATTAGTATTTTTTTATCGTCGCTCACCACCGTCCGTGTTCCTCGCACCCCTTGCACCCCCAGGTTGAATCGCTACTGAACAAACTAAATGTAGTAGGATAAGCGTTACATATCTAGTATTTTAATAATCGAAGATCTAACGAAACAAAATAGCGCTGCTGAGAAATTAGATTATTTATATAATCATTTATATTAAAACATTTGTTAAAATGATTATTTTTAGGTAGAAACCTCTTCCCAGCAACGGGCTATCTGTACCTAGTATGGGAAACCTTATCCATCATAGAAGAAATACCGATGACTATCAAACACGTAGTTTTCGAAGATTGTAAATTTTTACGAGCCACCACGCTCTCCAAGAAAGGCCATTTAGTATTTTATATCATTATCAATAGGTATTCTGGTCACTTTGAAATAGTTGAAGGAGACTCGCTCGTAGTATCTGGCAAAGTGTTTTCCAGAGATAATGACGATGCACCAAAGTGTAATGTTGCAGAAACTTTGAATGAAAAATTAGAAATGAATTCGAAGGATGTGTATAAAGAACTGAGATTAAGAGGATATAACTATTCGTAAGTATACAAAACCTATTTTAGTTCTAGATGTGGCTGATTAATTGTTGGTTAGAAATTGGATATTTGGGTCAAGAGTTCAAATCACTTCATATTTTTGATAATTATTATTATTATTATTATTATTATTATTATTATTATTATTATTATTATTATTATTATTATTATTATTATTATTATTATTATTATTATTATTATATAATTTATTTATCAATCAGAATTGGAAACAGGTGACTTACTTCTGCTTACTGGCTTTGTTGATTTTTGTAAGGGGTTAAAGTAATAAATTTGACTCGATATGGTGTTTACAAGATCTTTTTTTTTTAATAATTCTTCAAGACTGAGACTCTTACATTGTTTTTACATCATTTTTTTAATAATTTTCCAAGATAATAATTTGTCCCCTACGCCAATTTCCTAACTCATGGCCCAGTAAACTCGTGAAAGACGCTGATATAATAACTCTTCGGACACGGGTGTAAAAGTTGGCATCACTGTCAGGGATTTAGTTGCTTATTTCCGATAGCGTACCTAGTTATGTTTTTAATAAGAACAGAAATCATTTAATAAGCTTGGCATGTTATGTTATGTTGGGAATGTGGTATTAATACACTGCAACCTAAAAGATCTATTGTGCCACCTTCTGTCGCTAATGCAGCAAGGAAATGTCTCAATGCCTTTAACGACCCTTCTAATCCTATCTTCTTAAGGAAGTATAGGATTTGGAGCGGCTTCAAGTTGATATGCTCCTAGGTATAGTGCCCTTGGATTTTGGAGTGTTACACATTCAGTCAGATTGTGAATAGATGTTTCGAATCTGCACTCACTATCTTTTACTTGCCGTTCCTCTATTGCTGGTTTAAGTGCCCATTCAGGGTTTTCATTTTCATGTCGTTCGAGTTTTTTGTTCGTCTTTCTTGGTATTTTCTTTTTTTTTCTGGTGATTTGTCCGTCTGTTCTTGTATCTGTTTTTATTTTACTAAGGTGTCCTTTGAGTCGACAATGCCCAGTAAGGATCCCTGTTACAATATGTAGCCTGTTCTTTCTCAGGCAGATACAGACTTCCGATCTTTTCTGGTTATATTCGCCCAGACACTAGACTAAATAAAATGATATCCAGCGATATCACCTGCATGAATCTAGATTAGTTTAATAGATCATAACTTTTTAAGTTTTTTGTTGTACACTGGTTCCAGAAGTTGTATAGTTATTCCACCATTCCCGGGATATCTTTTTGGATCCGAAAAAAATAAATAAAATTCAAAGCCATATGTCACAAAATAAGAGCGACCGTTTTCATTCGGAAAACAACTACTCCTTTGGCTAATACCTCGACAGATACTGAATTATATACAAAGGAAAAACAGCAAAGTTGACATTAAATTTCAATACTTTACTAAGGAGAATGGCATTCTTGAACCGGTTTCGTCCTTATTAGGACTCTTCAGCAAGAAATAGATAGTTCTCAATTTCGGTGTCTAATGGAATTAAGGAAGGCAACACATATGGCTTTGAGTTTAATAAATTTTATTGTACGTCCTGATCACATTTGAGTTGTAATTATTTTCCTTTTTTTTTAAATTGCCAGCCTGTCCTTTTATTGCCCTATGTCCATAGTCGCTTGGTACTTAGGCTAAAGTCACTTTGTTTTGATAACTTAGCTCTGTCAGTTCTTCTAGGCAGTACGATAATTTATTAAATGCTAATGTCAAGGAAGAGAGCAGGAGCGGCTCGTGGCCAAAATTTTGGGAGTTCACAGTGACAGAATATAGATATCAGTACAGATGTATGAAAAAACTTTCAGTGTTTTAAAAAGTTTATAATATACCTTTCTAAAACACTGACAGTTTTTTACCTACATCTGTACGGAGATCTATATTCTGCTACTGTGAACCCCCAAAATTTTGGTTACGAGCCGCCCCTGGAAGAGGAGTACTGTTTATTTTCTAGTGCTTTATTTATTATTTGTGCACTTGCTGCATTATGGAATTCTACTGTTGTAAGCCAAACTCCGACTTTTTTATGTAAGGTCTTTATGTTATCTACGAAGTAATGCCCTTTCAAGCATTTTTGAGATTACTGATAGAAAACTTATGATTCTAAAGGAGGAGACAGCTGTTGGTTCTATTCCTGGTTTACCAATTATTATAATTTGTGCAGTTTTGAAATCTTTTGGCCAGTATCACGTAGCGTTATATGTTAACATCACTATCCTTCTTTTTGGTAATTTTTTCATCATTTTAGGTGTTTAAACATAAATTTTAGATGACGTTTTAGATTTAGTAACTTAATTTCTTCCGCTATTTCTTTTGGTATTATATCTACGATTGACATATAAATATAACAGGTATTTATTTCTTGGTCTGCTTCATTGTCCAATGTTTGAAACACCTGTATTAGTTGACTTGTTGACTATGGTTACTTGCAGTTTTTTCTTATAGGAGGTGCAGAAGTTCCTGAGTTTTTTTTTTATTTTAAATTGGTTTTCACATAGAGTTATCATTTCTTGTACAAATTTATTATGTCTTACTTCTTTGAGCTCTGTTTTTAACCTTCGATTCAATTCATCATAAACCATTCTATCTGGGGGTCGATTCTCGACTCGTAGGAATTTTTTCATATAGGAATTTTTGACATTTTTCTATACATCGAAAATTTATGACATTTTCCTACATATAGGAAAGTCACAAATTCCTAGAGGAAAAGGTTCCTACAAGTCGAGAATCGACCCCGTGTCTGAGCACATTCCCATCATAAACAATTCTATGTACCTTCCTTATTTTCCTTTCTGTTTCTCAATGAGTCATTTGTTTTTAAGTTTTATATACCTAATTTTAATCATGGATTGGATTATATTTCTAGTGGAGGATTCAGAAGCATTCAAAAATGTAATACAAAAGGTACTCAAGGTTTGATCAAATGGGATGATAACTGGATAACATTTATGGACAACATGTTGCAACTTAGAATTCTTCAAACCGATACAAGATTACTATACGTACCGACATATATATCTCAGTTAGTTCTACCTGCGAAACATCATCTTGAACTGATAAACTCCAACTACATTAAAAAGCAAATAGAGCCATTGTTGCCTGTGAGCTGCAATGAATATACAGGAGAAATCAGGTATTTAAGGAAATAATTTTTTTTTTCGGGATATGAAGTACAGCCATAGATTTTTCTCATTAGTTTATAACTTAGACAAAAGAGACTAGAGATATAACACAGACCGGTGTTTAATCTGTGCGAATGTTGCCAATTTCTAAAGAGAAGTTAACAAAGTGGGGGAACTGGGAGGAGACCCGACCTCTGTGACAAGGACGGCCTTTGTTTATTACCATCATAATGAACTATTAGATTAACTAAACAGGTGTTGTATTATGAAATAAAATTAACGAGATTTTCTAATATCAAACAGATGCAACGATATTTTATGTAAAGAGAAGCCAATAGTTCTTTTACAGATATGTCATTAGCTTTTATTTTCCATGGATTACAATAAAATGTTGAAATAAAATATTGATAATCGAACAAGGAACGGTATTCATTGTCTACGTGTATTATAATAGCAGCATGTGCGCAGACGAATACTGCAAATCAAACCTTTGTTTTTTTTATACGGCTATTACATAATAATAAAAGTTAGTCAGAATGAGAAAATGCTGTTTTGTATAGTAAACCCCAGAAAAAGGTATATTGAAACTTCTTTCTTTGGAAATAATTATTATAGGGAATATCACATAAATCTTTAAAAATGTATATTTCTGAAACCGGATATTTTAAAATTTGAACGTAATAAAAGTCATTCGGTCGCTAAGGCGATTATCAAAAGTAATATACCAAGACCTTGATAATATTCGGCTATTTTTGTTGAATCTAAATCTCGAGAATATTTTAATATTAATTTGATGAGACATAATTTTTGGCATTAATAATCTGATCAGAGCCCGAGAGCTTTAGCTCGAGAAATTTTTCTATCGCAGTCTGACGCGTGGAGGATAATTTCCATAACTTCTAGACTAAGTTTCTAGTCAGAGTTGGTTCTTTCTAGACTATTTTATTTTTGTATAAATAGCGCGGCTTTATAGCTAGAGGTTAGGTTTTAATATGGGTTTGCTTAGTAAAGATAAATTGTAATAAGTAAATTAGAATTGTTAATTATAATAGTGTTTGAGTATTAAATTAATGAATTAGTACGTTATAAATAAATTATAAAAAACTGTTTTTAATAAAAAAACTATTTTCAAATTAAACAATCGTTGCATTGTTTCTAGGTGTGGAAATCTTGTTATCCGAGGTCTTATGGCTAGTTCTATAGGTAGAAGAAAAGACCTAGGTATTCCTGTATTAGAAAGCTACCAGTTCATTCCAAACATAACAAAATTGGAATTGGAAGATTCTATACGAGTCAACATGCAGATCTTCCTCGAAAATGCTTTGGCAAGAAAGGTTAAAGTTATTGAACTTGTCGACAGTTTTAGTAAAGACGACACCCTCTTAATACCTTTGATACAATCTGCTTTTGAAGATCAACCGCTTATAACTCCTATGTGTAAGATACTGACCAAAACGCCAATTGAAACTACTATACAAATTGAAGATAAACCATTATCCACCGAAGCTGATTGTAATATTATTATTGGTTCTGAACTGTTTAGCAGACCTGAGGTGAGTGAATAAACACACTCAATTGATCAAACCTATTGGCAAGAATATTTCAAATCATAATCGTCATCATTGTAATCGTCTCTATCATATTTTTGTCCTTAACCACTTTTTCATTGCTTTTTGCAACATTGATCTTAACATGTCCCAGCAACCAAAGATTAAAATCATATTTTTCTTCTAGGTTTTAAAAGTAGCTTTTGGATCTCTTAAAGACCATGGTTTCGTTGTATCTAGAGAACCTCTAAACTTTACTGCTGCTGCCACTACAGACACTGCAGATTTTAGCACCATTACTGTCCACACGACTCCATTAGAAACTTTGGTTCTTCTCAAGAAGAATACAAAAACCAGAGAACTTACCACAATACACATTCCGAGTACGTATGATTTTAAATGGGTTGAATCGCTAAAAGATATTATCAAACTGAAAAAATCGGATAATGTCCTAGTGTATTCCCAAAATGATCCAATAACTGGAACATTGGGACTGGTAAACTGTTTAAGAAGAGAACCAGAAAGTACTTTTGTCAAAGGTCTTATAGTTTTCGATCAAGCTGAAGATTTTGATAAAGAAATCCCCTTCTACAAAGAACAACTAAGTAAAAATATGGCTATAAATATTTGGAAAAACGGCACGTGGGGTACATACAGACACTTATTGTTAAAACAACTCAAAACTATTGAAAGTGAACATTGTTACGTGAATTCGACTCTCAGAGGTGATTTGTCTAGCTTGAAGTGGATTGAAAGTACTCTCAGAACTGATATGGAAGTACCAATCGAAAAAGAACTGGTCTACATTAATTATGCCACAATAAACTTTAGGGATGTCATGACTGCTTCAGGAAAAATCAACGCTGATGTAATTACACAAGACAGACTGGAGCAAGAGTGTGTCCAAGGGTTCGAATTTTCCGGCTACGACCAAACGTAAGTAATGTTTTATATCAGTTTAAAGTTTTAGTCATAAGATTGATATTTTTCAGAGGCCATAGAGTTATGGGTATGGTAACAAAAGGTGCTTTGTCATCGTTGATATTGGCAGATAAATATCTATTGTTTAGAATTCCAGATTCTCTGACTTTGGAGGAAGCAGCTACAATTCCTGTAGTGTATGGTACAGTCATCTACGGTATGATAATGGTAAGTAACTTTGTTATTGGAAACGTTTTAAAAGAAAGTTATTGCAAGTTCGCTAACTGCAGGTACTAATAGTGTTGTAATTTTGTAGAGAATAAAGCGGGCGCTAAAATAGCACTTGGTGCTAAACCTGAATTTTGACATAACAGTATTTCTAACCTTACTTTTTTTTAATATTGATTAGATTTTTGTTATAAATATACAAGTAAGTATGGAAAAGGAATTAGACTAATACCACTTTTTCCCAAAATGGCATTTTGCTACCTTCTATTATAATAAACGTCTAAGCCACCTTCTGACAAAACTTCAGAGTACCAATTTAACCAGTTGATTTCAAATTAAAATAATTGAAATTTGCCTATTTCCGACTTGACAATTGCCAGAAAATAAATTTGCCTATACTATTACAATTTTTAAACGATCGTGACTCATCGAAGGATTATGGTCAGCCGGCAACAATGTATCTCTAGAAATACCCATAATCCTCCTATGCAACGGTGTAACAATGATTCATGATAAAATGCTAATGTTGAATAAGCTTTAATTGACATAATTTTATTGATTTACATTAATTATTGTTTAATCTACTTTGTATGAAATGTCTAAAAAAGTTGACAAGAAATGGGAATTTTTTTTTGTGTCATCGGCATCAACTGCTACGGTTATTACCCTCGTGTTCTTTGTAGGCTTTGTTACTGTTTCCCAGCGCCATTTTAGGAACAGCACTGTTATGTTTTATTATTAATTTTACAAAAAAAAACAATATTTTTTAAAAAAGTTCTGCAATAATATATCAATAATGAAGAATAAAATTTGTAAAATATTTAGTGGTATACAGTAAAAATGAAAAGTACATTTAAATTTAAATACAGAACAAAATGTATTTTAAAATATTGATAGGAATTAAACAAGTATGGCCTTCTAATAATCAATAAATTTAAAGTTAAAAAAATACTTAAATCATTTAGCAATTGTTAGATTATTTATTACATAAGATAAATCAAAAATTAAATTAAAAATAAATATACTTACACGCATCACATATAAATCAGTAATCAAGAATAAAATAAAAAATATTAATATATGCTGAATAGTCCTCAGAATTGGAATCTTTTGAGACATTGAGTTCTATCACCATTTTTTCGATTACGTTGTCCACCATCCCGTCAAATCTCCACATTTTGTCTTCTTCCTTGATGACGTGGGTTACAGCATTTGTCCAATCTTTTTTCCATATTCGTGCCATTCCAATTTCCAGTAAACGGTGGATGTCGCTAATTGTAAATGTCACGTTTTTACGAGCTTCGTAACCCTTTACTTGAGCCCAAATAAGTTGTATCGGATTCAATTCGCAATGGTACCGAGGAAGTCTTAGTACGGGTATACCTTGACTTGAGCAAGAGGCAATGTATCTACAACATGCTGAAGATATCTGTCTCGATGATGTTTAATTATGGTTATAAGCTCCTCTTTAACCATGTCTTCAGAAAAGGAAATTACCTTTTGTCGCAACCAACCTTGCATCACCGCTTTTTTAGTGGCCATAGTGGGTAGACGTTCCACTAAGCGGCTGTGATAAGAAGCGTTATCAAGAACTATCACTGAATTTCAAACAAACCTTTAAAGCATTGATTGTCCATATCTTCCTGGTAATCCCCCGTTTTTTTAGATAAAAAAACTAAGGCATTGTCGTTTAAAAAAAAAACACTTTCACTATCTATATGGGCGACAATTAGTCGTTGTCCTTTTCCAGTTGGTCCTCGTAATTCTGTTGATAGACCTTCCACAAATGCTTATCGATAACTTGTTACCGTAGTATCTTGCCAGATCTTAGATACTGTGTGGCCAGCATTCGCCCATGTTTCATCCAGATAATATATTGTCTTGTTTGCCAAACTATATACCCTTATAAAGCGAACATATTTTCGCTGCCATGAAACTATTTCTTCTCTTTCTGTTAAAACAGAGTTACGAGATCGTCTTGTCTATCGAAACTTTAACTCGCGTACTATTTTTCTCTCTTAATGTCTCTCGGCTCATTTGTGGAACGAGATCATTCTCCAAAAATTTCTTTTTAATGGATTCCATGGGTGGCGATTTATTTAAAAAAAAAAAGAATGAATAGTTGTGCGTATCATATTTTTCTGGTGCTCGTTCTATTTAATTTTTTTTCGACCACGACAATTTATTTTTGGAGCTTGCACAGTCCCAGTCACCTTCTTTTCACATACAATGCGTTCAATTATCGCCACGGATATTCTCGTTAAAAATGAACAGTGGTTCAAGGCTTGCTTGTCGGAAGTGTATTTATTAAACCTTCATGTTCGATAGAGACCATCTGTTTTTCATCGTTTGAAAGAATTTTCCGCTTTCGTTGTGAATTACTTGGACCCGCTACTGCATCCATCTTAGTGATGTTAAGATAAAAACCGTCAATCATATACCTGCCACCATTAGTCCACGCAAATTAAACTTAGAGAAAAAAAATTGTTAACAAGACGTAGCGCTTTAAAATTTAAAACTTACGACTAAAAAAAGTATTTGTCTGAATCTTAATCATTCTACTTAAATGTTTGAAGCAATATTATATATAGAAAATTAAGAATTCTGGTCAAAAAATAAAAAACAGTTTCTTTTATATATTTTTCCATACAATTTTATGGTGCTATCAGTTTAAATTTTTTATCGCTAAAGAATCAGTTAGCTCACTCGGACCAGTTGAAAGTTCCAAAATAACATCCACTCCAGGGATACAAATCCAGGATACACAGAAGACTGCTATTTTATTATAAGCGGTTGTCATATATTGTATTATCCGAGTTGCGCAGTGTATAAACTGGAACATTGACATCAAAAGTGCCGACGCAGAGTGAGCGATCTGATTCTTTAGCTATAAACTGTGTCATAGGGTTCAAAATGGCCGCGCCCTATGTTGGGCGTGTCGGACCTCTCTCTTGCCCCGTATAGTAATCAAAGTATGTGTGCCGCTCTTATTTTGACATCTGAGCATGCGCAGATCACTAACTTTAATAAAGATTGTGCCTGTCCTTTATAAGAGAGATTGCAAGTTCACTTAAGGTCAGTCACTACTAGTGCTGCTCTTATTTTGACATCTAAGCATGCGCAGATGTTTATGTTCTAAAACTGACTTTATTAAGGATTGTGCCTGTCCTTAATTGTGGATGTTTAAGGGCAGCAGGTAGTGCCGACTTTATAGCTTTCGGATGCGCTCGGCGACATTCGTATCCGTTAGAAGTTTTTTAATATTAAATATTTAATATAATCGTCATTTAAACCTTATAAGGTTAGCAATAAGTATAAGGACGAGGATTCTAATGTCAAAATTTCAAGTTTGCAATAAGTCTGATTTTAGCATGGAATTTATTTGACTCTAATTACGATGTCACTATTAGTGGCTGGCTTTATAGAAATTTGCAATATCTCTCTATTAAGGACAGGCTACGGACAGGCACAATCTTTATTAAAGTTAGTGATCTGCGCATGCTCAGATGTCAAAATAAGAGCGAAACTAATAGTGACTGACCTTAAGTGAACTTGCAATAACTCTCTAATATCTTACCTTTATGGAGATCTCTTACATGACCCGTACTCTAAATTTTGACTCAATTTTACTTACAGTAGATTGCAAAATTGGGTATCGTTTGGAATATTGTTGAACAAGAGCATAAACCTATATAATATGTGTCCTTGTTTTGTTTCCACTGTTGGACTGTATTATATAGAATAGAAAAGAATTGATTTTTTAACGATTTTATTACAAAGAAACTGGTACAAACAATGCAACTCTACAAAGGTCTTATATGAATTAATTGTTCTCTTTTTTCAACTCTTCATTTTTTACGCGCACTCCCACATATTCCCCCAGATCCGTCACGTGGCATTCCCGATCACAAGCACAAGCGCGGTTGCCAGATTAAGTAAAATGTCCGAACATCCACAACCAATCTTTATTAGAATTGCAGTTTACACATTAATGGTATTTTAGAGAGGACGATTGCAAAGACATGAGTCTGTTCTGATTCATTCTGGGACCGGAGGTGTAGGACAAGCCGCTATCAGGCTAGCTTTGCATTATAATTGCACAGTTTTTACAACAGTCGGTACCAAGGAAAAGAAAGAATTTCTACTGAAGACGTTCCCACAAATCAAAGGTGAGTACTTACTGCTTTGTTTAAAATCGAATCTATTCAGACTTCAAAAAAGGAGGAAATTCTCAATTCGCCGGTATATTTTCTTTATGTATGTTTATCGATAATTATTTACCACCTTGTCCGATTTTTATGATTCTTTTTTTGTTAGTAAGGGGGTAACTCAGGGATGGTCCCATATAAATTTAGTTAAGTTATGGTGATAGCATCTGCACGATTTTGAAGTCGGTTTTTAAAATTACTCTTAATACTTGTTCTAGAAAGTAATATTGGCAATTCGCGTGATCTCTCTTTCGAAAAAATGGTTATAAAAGAAACGCAAGGTAGAGGCGTCGACATGGTACTAAATTCCCTTGCAGATAAAAAACTCATAGCCTCGGTACGATGTCTGGCACGAGGTGGAAGATTTATAGAAATCGGAAAATTCGATTTAGCCAGCAATAACGAGTTGAGCTTGCATCTATTAAATAAAGAAGCAAGTTTTCACGGAGTCATGTTGGACAGTCTAATAACTTGTACTCCTGAGGTCAAAACCGGAATTACCACTATCCTCACTAGCAATATCGGTACTTTTGTTCAACCTTTGAAGACTAACGTATTCGGTTACAACCAAATCGAAGACGCGTTCAGATTTATGTCAACCGGAAAGCACATTGGCAAGGTGTTAATTAAAGTTAGAGATGACGAACAAAATTCCGCTAAACGTATTCAAAAGTTTACTGGAATACCCAGGTAGGAACCTGCTTTAATATAAAGATTAAGATAATGCATTAATGTTGCAACCAATTTAAATTAAATGTATTTTAGGTACTTCTGCTACCCTAATAAAACTTACATCATCATAGGTGGCTTAGGAGGTTTCGGTTTAGAACTGACAGACTGGCTCATACTGAGAGGTGCTCAAAATCTTGTACTTACATCCCGAAAAGGTATCTCAACGGGTTACCAACAAAAGAGATTTAAGTAAGTAGTTATTACCTAGTTCTTCTCGGATTCGTGGGGTCTTAATAGATACCAATATTACTATAACAACTTTTAGGATATGGGAATCATATGGAATAAACATTCAAATTTCTAAAGACGACATTGGAACAGAGAGTGGATGTAGAAAATTGTTAGAAGATGCGAATCAGATCGGAGAAGTCCATGCCATCTTTAATTTGGCCGTTGTTTTAGCCGATGCCGTTTTTGAAAACCAGACGGATGCTAGCTACAAAACGTCATTCCTGCCCAAAGCAATAGCCACAGCACATTTGGATAAATTGTCAAGGAAGTTGTGTCCAAATTTAAAGTAAGTTAGGAATGCTATTCTTTTTATAAAAACAACTGCTTTTACTAATATTAGAATCTAACCAAAAATTGATAAATGAGTAATTTTGTTCTAAACTAACTAAAGTTATACTCGTAATCTTAAAAACTAAGGTTGTATTCCTTGATAACCTGTAATACAATAAGTTCTGTTTTGCACCAGTACAATCATTTGGCTCACTCAAAAGCTTTCAATTCCTTGGATCAACTTGTCAGGTTGATGTTGTCAAGAAGCTGAATTAGGTCAATCAAGATGTACATCTGTGCTTGCAAAAGGTCCGGTCATTCTGAATTTTTATGTTGTTAGGACGTAAACCAATATTAAAAAACCATATTTGCAATTTCAAAATTTTCGGACCTTTTTCAGTTTTTGCTCAATATTTCAGTGAATAAAGGGTCTGACCGGTATAGTCATTCTACATACTTTTAAAGAAGACTAAATTTGCTACAATTTGAGACTAGGGCGAGCTCTATACAGCCATTGGTTTCCAAGATACAGTTCTTCAAAAATAGCCCATTTTTTCCAAAAAGTGATTTTTTTTCGAAATGGTCACTTATTTTGTAAAATATCTTCTAAAATACACATCCCACGTCAAACATTATATTATTTGAAGTTGTAGTACATTTAATTCGCTTTTATTTGAGACAAGCCTGGTACATGTAGACTTAGCGGTCCTCTCAAAAATGGCAGAAAATCATAAAACATAAGTCATAAGTGGGTTTTGGGGGTAAATGATGCAAATAAACTGTTCTTACGTCTTTTTATGGTTTTATTTATCAAGCAGTTACAATTTATTTATTTTTATTGTCAAAAAATTGTTTGATGAAAAAAGAAAAAGATAATATACCTATTGTGAATTACGTCTTAATCAAACATTGTTTTATATCTCTACATACTACAATGCTTATACAAACATCATGGGTACCAGGACAAATTACATTTACACAAAAAAAGGAAACTAATATAAATCATGTAGGTATAATGTTTTGATTGCCAAATCTTTTTTATCTTAAATGGCCCGTGCTTGGACTCGCATGAAGATAGTGTCTCGATGGCTGTGATGGACGCTGGGAGAAGGGCCCAGTCTGTAGTCGGGTCATCTTTATCGTCCGAGCATTGCAGCTTCACATCCGGGTCGTGAATGGACTATTTGACTAGCAGAGAAACGGAGCAGTGTAGCCCAGCCTTTCTGCACGAGCAGCTTCCAGAACACCCTTTCTTGCATTTACAAGATATTTTTCGCAGAAGGGCAGGAGATGCGGGATCCATGGTGGCGGGGATAGGGGGTAAGTCCCAGAGAATACAACTTCCATCCCCAATCAGTGGAATTCAAGTTGACTTCCCGTCACTTCTGCACTTGGAGGTAGCACCTTGCGGCATGGTGACCTGCTGCATCTACCGTCGATGACAAATAGGCGAGATTTATGTTCGTTGACAAACGTCGTATACCTCAGGAAATCCAAAGTATCCCTCGCGTTGCCACCCCCATATAGAGCCACAAAGCAGTTGATGCCTGCTTCTCTCGCGGCTTGTGGGGTGGAGTCTGGCCGAAGGAAGAACTCCACTTGACTCTTGCTCAGGAGTTTGGTGATTTTGGTCTTTCCTTGGCCAAACGGTACTGAGGTGGTATTGCACCCGGTAAACGCGTGAGTGAATAGTACCATCCCTTGTGATTGCTGGGAATTCTGGTCATTGTAGGAAATCCTAGGATAGTGACAGCAATCAGCTTCGCCCTTCGTATTCTTCTGAAGGTAGACGTTTGTCTCTTCAGCGCCTAAACCATTGAGAAAAACAGGTCGACGTGTTTTCTCATTACGACGACCCAATAGGCTACTGCTTCATTTTGAAAGCGCCCTCATGACGATCTCTCGATCCGCATCTTCTTCGGTAACAGCCACTTCTACTCCCTCCTCTTTAATGGCGTTACTAAGAAGAGTTATTAGGCGTTTCTTGTTGTCCTCATAGCACCAAAACATGCTCTTGAGCAATTTAAATTATTGTGAATTCATCGAACTTATGACTTATGTATTATGGTTATCTGCCGTTATTGAGAGAACTACTACCCAGCAAACACAAACATGTAACATATATGTATCATTTACATGTACTAGTTCCGTGTTACATAACAAAGTAACTTACATGTTACATAATAACTCCTGTGATTACTGTGAAAAATGACCTAATTTTGTTATATAGCAGGTTCCTTATATGTGATGTAATGGGTTAAGTACATGTAAGGAACAGTGTTATATATCGGAAGACATGTAACATTTATATTACCATTGCAACATCTAATATGCTTCATTATTACAGCAAATATACATTACTTTTTTCATATAACATTAGTATTATAAATGTTATATAAATGAAGGTATGTAAATGTAGTTAGTTATACAGTGTGTGTCTACTTAAGTTGGAACAATATGGAAAACTCTTGTATTATTGACTTTGTAAAAAAAAGTATTCTTGATAAAAAGTTCTGCATGGTCTAAAACTTAAAATGCAACCATCAGGTATAATCCCTATACGAGGTTTTTCTAAAAATATGAATTTTAGTCAAGAGTAAAATACCTTTATTTTTTACAATATAGAAGAATATTATAAAGTAAAGTTACTTTGAATTAAAAGTTATATTAAAATATGCAATTATAGTCATTTAGCATGATAATTCAGGTTAAGTGATTATTTACGTTTTACATTATAAATTATTTGTAGTTATAAATTAATTAATCACCAAACCTGAATTTTAATGCTAAATCGCTGTAATTGCATATTTAAATATATCTTTTAATTTAAAATAATTTTACTTTATAACATTCTTCTGTATTGTAAAAAATAAAGGTATTTTATTCTTGAATAAAATTCATATTTTTTGGCAAACAGCTTAAAAAATTGATATCTGATGGTTGCATTTTAAGTTTTGGATCATACATGGCTTTTTATCTAGAATACATTTTTAAAATTTAAAATTTAAAAGTATGTAGAATGCATAAACCGGTCAGACCCTTCCTTTACTGAGATATTGAGCAAAAACTGAAAAAAGTTCGAAAATTTCATGGTTTTTTGGATACACGCCGCTTGCACAGCACTTTTAAAATTGAAAATCTGGTTTTTTAATATTGGTTTAGGTCCTAACAACATATAAAAAAATTCAGAACGACCGGACAGTTTAACTTTACTGAACTAAATTACCTCAACGTTCACATGACTTCTAGAGAATCTGGTGATAATCTGATCAACTGAAGATCTCGATGAAGGTGCTTTTATCTGCCATTTCTTTAGTATTAAAATGTTACTGTTGTTGACTCAGTTCCAGTGCTGAATGTCGTAAATTTAGTTTGAGGACTTGTTTTTATACCAATCTACTTTGTTATATTTAGATAGGCTGAAAGGTCTACCAAATAACCTCCATTTTCTTTAATTTTATATCTAGCTCTTCTAACATAGACATTTCAGCCAAATATTGCATCTAATATAATGGGTGCTATGATTGAATGTTTACGTTATCCGTAACGTACATGTTAGGCCAAGTTTTAACAGTAACGAGGCAAGTTCGTATGATGGAAAACCTTTTCCAACACATTACTGATATTTTCCGCTTATTATGTTCTAATTTAACAGATTTTCATCACACAAACTTGTCTCGTTACTGATAAAACTCGGTCTAACATGTACGTTACAGATAACGTAAACGTTCAATCATAGCACCCAATGCCTAGATATTTTGCGAAGTTATTTTTATTACTAAAGATATGAGCAGATATGAACAGATTTAGTTTAATATGGTTCAGTTATTTGTTTGATTTACTGATATTTGCAATTTATGTTCAGCCCCTTTATGGTATTTATTGTATCTTGTTCTAGTTGGGTTAAGTCACAGGTGTATACCAGGCATAAAATGGCTCCCAGGACGCTTTCTTGTGGTACTCCTGCTCTGATTTCTATCAGTTCAGAGTATGCCTCATCTGGCTTTACACTGAAAAATATATATGAAATATATGAAACCAATAGCTCGAAGCATGACTGTGGAAGCATCATATTCAGTTTGTTTCTAATCACGTTTGACATATAATTTTATAATTATCAAATTTATCAAACCAGTGATGACATGTCAAGATTATTTTATTCTTTTATTTTATCTTAATATTATACATTTACCCAATAATTCTGATAACAACTACTTTTCTCATCTCTTCTCATTGATATACTGATATGAGTTTATATTTGTAATAATATTTGTATAGGTATATTTACTTTTTGAATAAAACATACTTTTTTTTTCAGAGATTTTGTAATATTTTCTTCCGTTACTTGTGGTAGAGGCAACGCTGGTCAAACAAACTATGGTATGTCAAACTCAGTGATGGAAAGGATATGCGAAAAAAGAAAAAAGGAAGGGTACCCGGCATTGGCCATCCAATGGGGTGCCATCGGAGATGTAAGAACATTTTTGTCATATACAATACTTTTTCTGTGAAGGGTTATAATTATAAAATATTGATTAACTTACCTACCTATTATTAAGATCAATCCAATTTTGTTCAATTCATCCTTCTGAATCCTCGGTATTTGTTAAAAGATTAAATAAATTTTACCAGGCAAGTTATCTTCATTCCTTTATTGGTACTCAAAAGGATCGCTAGGGAGGTGCAAGCAATTTGTAGCGGATGGGACCCAATTGTACATGAGGATGAGTTGGAAAAATTTGGATTGATCTTCCGTTTAGGTAAGTCGATCAATCTTGTAGTTTGTCTTCACTCATCCGCCTGTACTTACAGTTGAGGCTGTTAAGAGAAAATATTCAGCGATCATTTTGAAGACATTGTAAAGTCCCCTATAATAGTTAAATTTAACAATATGTGTAAGATGCTGTGATTGAACGCAACCTTCACACAAGAGGTATTATAACAGAATGAAGATAGTTTGGCGACAGGGATTTCTGCTCAAAAAGTTTTCCTCTTTTAACAAATACCTAGATTCATGCGATACAACAAGAAGATCAATATTGTAGAAAAGGATAAGTGAAGACAAATTGGCAACAGAGCGTTGTTAGTTATCTTGCTACAGCTTGTCACTAGGAAGTTATATAGAGAGGATTTATTCATTTTCAAATTATTTTATATTTTAGGTTGGTCTTGTGGCTGAGCTTCAAGAAGAACACGTGGAACTAGAAATCGGCGGTACTCTCCAACAAAAAATATCCAGCTGCCTTAACGTCCTCAATAACTTTTTAAGACAGAAAGAAGCCACTATCGTCTCCAGTATTGTTGTCGCAGAAAAACGTGGAGGTTTAGACTCATGTGATAATATTGTTGATACCGTCATAAACATTTTAGGTACATATTTATTCTTTATACATAATTAGTACAAGAATGGCCTGTATGGTCTGGAGGTGTTTAGAAAAGCTAAATTAGCTTGACTAGTTTAAAAGCTTTCTGGTAACTCTGTAGCTTCTTATTTCATCCCATCATTCTTTCAATTTCACAAGGGAATGATCTTTAATTTGGTTTGTCACGATCGATGTTGATAATTCAATGGGTCTAAGAAGACCTAAGAAGTATTTGGTTGATTGGTTGGTTTCTTAGCACTTGATGTCGCGTGGCCTTTGATCACAACAAACACCCTTTGTGAGCCCTGAGCCGTTCTTCGGTATCAGCAGTAACACAATATTGGGTTAAATTAAAAAAATGGGCAGTAGATGAACTAACAATTGGATCTTTTGGAGTTAAGACAGGCTAAGATATTTTTGGATAATTATAACTAGAAAAAATCGTCTGTGTGGAATCCTATTAGAATTCCATTGATTAAAATAAATCATTTGTAGAGAATCGAGTATGTATCAATACAAATATTGAATTTTGTCAGGTAGTTACAAGGTGAGGTGAGCTTAGTCTTTGCTTTGCATTAAAAATGCCACAATTTGAAGGCTATAAAGTTTAACGAATGAATGGCTCATCGGACTAAATAAAAGTGTAAAGGAAGGTATAAAAGATTTTAAATAAATTTAAAATTTGAATTTACTTTGTTATCTATAGATTAGTCACGTTTTTGGATTTTTGATTTTTTTAAATTACTTTTACTAAAGAAGGTATTGTCCAAGAATAAATACCATCTGTAGCAGTTACTTATGTAGTGTATAAAAGTACAGTCCGTGTAAAAACAAGCTACTTATAATAACGGGACTTCTTGCTGACTTAAAGGACACAGTAGTAGATTTAAACTAGTGAGTGCAGATTCTGTAAGGAGGAGTAAGACAAAACCTCTATAAACATTCTGCCGGAATGTGTGATACTACAGAATCCAAGGTTACAGGATTGTAAGGATTATACAGTGAACATCATAAGTCTTACCCCCCTATCTAACTCGTTACTGGAGTCTTGTTAAGAAAATCGCTGAGACACGTCGATTTTTGATTTCTACAGTGTACATTTTTGTATGAATAGTTTGCCCTTAATTTCATCCTTTACTGGAGGGGAGCAACCCTTTCGAAAAATTTAAATGGCATGGGGTGGTGAAAGGGGGCTATTCAACCGTGCAGAGAATTTTGAAATTTGCCTAATTAATTCTCGAGTAATTATTGTTTCAGAATAACGAAAATTGACCTAGCACACTCATCCTTAAAATTAAAATTCGGCCCTGCATAATATCGGTTTTAGTTCAGACGTGAAGAAAGACTTTTTGTCATTAGATAAGGCCACTGTTAGTTTATTTGCTTGTTTGTGATGTTTTGTTATTTTTAAACATTAATAAATTAACACGTAATGAAGCAAATTTCAAAATTTTTTCCACGATTGAATAGAGAATGAAACCCCCTTTCAAATGAGCTATCACTCACTACCCCATGCTATTTAAATTTTTCAAAAGGGTTGCTCCCCTCCAGTAAGGGATGAAATTAGGGGTAAACTATTCATACAAAAATGTACATTGTAGAAATCAAAAATCGACGTGTTTCGGCGATTTTCCTAACAAGACTCCAGTAAAGAGTTAGATAGGGGGGTAAGACTTATAATGATCACTGTATATATCAAAATTATCCCCTTGCCGTCACAACGACAGAAGGGGACACAATAGATCTTCTCGGTCGCAGTGTATCTGATATCCCATAACAACATAACATAAAATTTATTCTTTGGGCAATCGATTGACAGTTGACAGTTGACAACAATGACATTGTATATTTCGTTTCAGGTTTAGTTAATCCGAAAGCCGTCAGCCATCATGCAACTTTACCGGAACTAGGTATGGATTCTATGACTGGAGTAGAAATTAAGCAAACGTTAGAAAGAGAATTTGAGATTTTCCTCACGCCCAAAGACATGAAAACTATGACTTTAGCCAAGTAAGTTATGTTTAAACCTAGCAAATGTTCCTTGGATTATATTCTTATTCATTGAGATGGAATAAAGATGCTGTGACGATACTAAAAGTGTCCGCATTTTTGCATTACACTTTTACGTCATATATCAAATTCGAGCTAGTAGAGTTTTGGTGAGAATAAATACAATTTTGTTAAAATAGCTTCATTTATATGATATAAAAACATTTTCACTCCATCAATCTTCAAATTTATTGGTTTTAAATAAATCAAAGTACGACTCTAAGTCGCCATTTTGATTACACTTTTCCATCACTCGAAGTGCGTTTATCTGTTATATCGCTAAATGGTGTTTATGTCGTATCTACTTCATTCTATCTCAATTCTTTTATTTAATACCACACATGCAACTGGTGTATGTTCATAATATATTTATTATCCTGTGACAAGCTCGTTGAGCTTGTCATCCTAGGATCAATATAATATAAACAAACATTTTACAAATTTCCATAGTTACAATAGTCATATCTCCAACTACTTGATCCTGTCCCAAAATAGATTATCTCCCGACCAGTAGCGTTCCAAAGGAATTCGTCTCAAACTCAATTCCCCCAATTTGATATTCACATGTGCTTGAATAACATTTAACATCTTGTGTATAACATATATCAAATCTTAGAGTATCAATAAGACCATCATAGATTCCACCATTTAACTACCAAATTCTAGTTTTTTTCACTCTAATAAAAAATCAACACTACTTTATAACAAAGTAAACCTAAACATAAATTTATACTATCATCACTCATCACTGTCTCATATCGGTATAAATCTCGAATTTCCTTTTCCTATCTTACAACAATCTTCGATTCCGTTTGAATCTGTACTTTCCAATTCTGATACTTGTACATTATTCACCTTCCTGGTCTTGTCATCGTTCCTATTTGGAAATTTTCTGTATTCTTCCTATATTCTTCTTTCTCACTCTGTTATCCTTTACCCTATCCATGCCATTCCTAGTTTTTTCTTGTTCATGCATATACAGGCTTCCGATCTTTTCTGACTACATTCACCCAGAAGTATGTTAGCGCGTCTTAGTCCCGAGATATCGGTTATTTTACTGCCCATCCTCCCTACTTGAAAACAAGATCAAATACTTGACTGATGTTTCTCTAATCTAATATATTCTTTTTAATCCTAATCATTTTATTTAATCCTAATCTATTTTCAACATTGTTGTAATTTTCCTTGGATTAGATTCTTTTATTTAATACCATATATATAAACTCCTTAAATGTCATCCCAGGATCATCTAAATATGAACACAAACATGTTACAAATGTCCATATAGTTACATCTCTGAAACTAGTTAATTCTGGTCAAAAATAAGTTGTAGTGTCCTCAAGGATTTCGTCTCCATCTCGGTATATACACATAAATTTATTTTATTCTAGATTGAAAGACATGCAAGAACAGAAATTATTATCCAGCGACGAAACAGACCATTCGAACAGCTATCAGATAGTGTTAGAAGATATTGGTGATGAAGAAGATATAAAATTGATAGAAGTACACCTCAACCCGCAATTAAAATCCAACAATACCTCAAAAATACTTTTGTTCCCCGGTATAGAAGGTTTCGCGAAAAAGTTTTCACGGTTAGTCCCTTATCTGGACGCGCCAGCTATTAGCTTCCAATTCTGGGAAAACCCCGAACTCCAAACCATCCAAGAAATGGCGCAGTTACTTTTACCGGTAGGATTCAGTAAAAACCTTACCAAACCGAATAAATTTATTTATTTTTCTTTTTTCCTTTTCAGAAAGTTGAAAGGCATATTAAACCGAATGAAAGATTTAATATTGTCCTGTATTCCATGGGTAGTTTGATAGGATTAGAAATCGTCCATTTACTTGAAGCCAAAGGCCATATTGGTCATGTGACCATTATTGATGGAGGCACCGTATTGATGAAAAAATTAGCGCTTAAGTGGATGCAAGATTCAGACAGGGTTTTCGAAACTGCTTTAATTATTCATTTGTTAACAATATACCTGCCCTCAGAAAAATTTGCGGAATATCAGGTAAAATATGAAAAAGATCATTGTTACAAAACGTAAAAGTTATATAATGTAAATTTATTTAAAAATGAGACAAAAGAGTTAAATGTTTTGAATTTGGAATATAGAAATATCATGACTAAAAGTAGATTATAGGACCTCTCACTTGGTATTAACTACTTTACTAACATATACTACGAAATGTAATGTTTCATTTTATTGAGAGAATATTAGACTGTTCATTAAGAACGTAAAGCATAATCCGGCTTTTGTGTAGTAAGACAATGTGTGCTTGTTGTGAAACAAAGACTGTGACATGTGTAGGTGAAAGGTGAAACAAATAATTAGAAACAAAACAAGTTTAAGCGCGTTTTTCCTTTTATGCCCTGACGACAGCATCAAAATCGTAGATGGGTTATATTTTAAATCACATTGGTTAGACGTAACGATAGTTGACTTGTTATGATGAAAACTTTTAAAATTATTTAAGTAATTAATAATTCTTTTTTTTTTTTCATTTTGCAGGAACCTCTACTGAAAGCGAACAGTTGGGAGGACCGTTTAGAGTTGGTTAGAGAAATGGTTACGAAGAAACTTAACATAGAAAAACTTGACCTTCAAAAGACCTTAACGATTGGACTTTACAACAGGGCGAAAGCCATTAGTTCCTACACCCCGTCATACGATAAACTCAAATCGACGATAAAGCTGTTCAAACCATCCGTGAGTTTAATAAACGACATCGAAGAAGATTACGGACTCTCGAAAATTAGTGAATCTGAAGTGAAAGTGGAAGTTTTCGAAGGGAATCACGGTAGTATTTTGGCCAGTCAACTTGTAGGAGAGGCGATTAACTCCATTAATAGGGAATTAAGGGTAAAAAAGTAAATAATATGTGTTTGAGAAGTTTTTGTTAAAAGTATAGATATTAATTTTATTATAATTTTGTACATATTCGTGTTTCGTTTTATTTTTTACTTTCATATCGAATTATAAGTAGTTGAATTCGAAAATAATATGCAATAAGGCAGTAATAGAAAATTCAGGAATATATTAAGAATGTTGCTGTATGCAATATCCAATATATACCCGCTCTTCACATATTCCAATAGTGCCAATTACTTTCGGATTCAACTATACCACCTAATTTAATAATGACTGTTGTCGGGTACATAAATAAAGCCACGGGCTCCTGCAAATCATAAACGAGGTTCCATTGTAACATGTTATTCATGTTATCCTTTTTTTAATATTAATTTTTTGGAAAATAATAAATATTTAAATAATAAATTGATACACCTAGTGTCATCTATTCGCCAAGGAACAAACTCCGCATATTTCTATAATAGTTATCTACAGTGTGATGATATGGTTAATAGCTTAATATATAGGAGGCAGAATAACGTTCCCTTTCTCGGGGACGATGAGAGCTTTCTTCGAGAGAGGAGCATAGATAAATTAATAAAATCATGACAAAGACAATAAATACACAAGAAATAATGATCCTGAACAAAATTCGTGTAAATAAACGAGTAATTTAAAATAACATACCTTATCATCTGGTATTTTTTTAACATCCTGTATATGATATTTTTTTTAAATCTTGCAAATAACAATCTTAGATGAAAGAGACCGGAGATGTAACATTGCACATAGCGCATATTGTCTATTCATTCCCACCAATTAAAAATCATTATTTCCACGACGCCACACGAATTGTTCCGACATCTATTCTACGCTCTTCTCCGCGAGAGTGAATTATCATGGACCGCCATTTTTTGAATTATTTATTGGTGTTATTAGCAATTTAAAGTGTTTTAGTTATTCAATTTGAAAATGCCACGTTGGATCGTATATACAAATAATATAAGTGCCAATGTTATGAAAAATAAAATATATATTCGTTTTCAACGGTAAATATTTATTAACGTTTTGACATAAAGGCGCCATATGATCCTTTGAGCTGAATACTTCAGATCTGCATAAGGGGTTTCAATAAACATTATAAGCATCAATTATTCCAGAAAACAGATTTCATAGAACTTACAAAAATTTTCTAAAGGGCAAAATTTTAAACATTAAATGTAAATAATAATAATTTTGTTTTTAAAAAGTAGTTTTAAAAGATTATTTACTGAAGGTGGTTTTTAGCCCTTTTTGGTAAATAAGAAGTAAAAAAGCATAGATGCTAGCGAAATGTTCTTATTATGAGGTATTTTTATAAGAATATTAGATAAAATACAGGACGACCTACTTAAAATTTCAAAGTTCATTTTATTTGCGGTCAAATTGGATGTGATATTTGGATCTTAAGTCTTAAAACAAATTAAAACGCATAATATGATCTAGTATAAACAAAAAAAAAATACTAAAGTAACGGGAGTTAGTAACATTGTTTATAAAATGTTACATTATAAGCCCCTAAACAACTCGAAAAAAAAATTTGTTTACTAAAAAATCTAAATTCTTGCAATCTTTACCATTTATTATACATTCGAATGCGGTTTTAAGGATAACGGGATCAAAAATATGCGAATCTTAAAATTTGCTCGGATAAAAGCAAGCGAGCGATAGGGGTTACAAAAATAATCGATTATTTTGTTATTTTTTTATGAAATTCGATTAACCGTTATAATTAATCGATTATTTTCAATTAATCGAATATTTTCAATAAATTATTTTCGTTTGTTCAAATTTAATGGAATAATAGATTTTAAAGGAAATATAAAAAGAAAATAGATTTATTGAAAAATCGATTTATCGTTTAATTGCCTTTTTTAATTAATCGATTAGTTTCGATTTTTCAATGATAGTGGAACAATAGATTTTAAAGGAAATGCCAAAAGAAAATAGCTTCATTGAAAAATCGATTTATTTTTTAATCGCCTTTTTTAATTATTCGAATATTTTCGATTTTTCAAAGATCGAATAATTAATTTTAAAGGAAATACCAAAAAATAGATTATTTGAAAATAATCGATAATTCGGTTATTTTTTTGGAAAATCGATTTCTCGTAAAGCCATTAATCGATTATTTTCAATTAATCGATTATTTTCGAAATACGAAAAAAATAGATGATTTGATAATAATCGATTATTTAAAACAATCGATAATTCGGTTTTTTTTTTAAAGATTTAAAGGTTAATCGGATTGTTAATAAATAAATAATTTTTGATTAATCGATTATTTTCAATTTTTCGAAGATTATCGAATAATCTATTTCAAAGGAAATACGATCAAAAAATAGATTCGATACTTCGTCTATTAGTTTTTGGAAACACCGATTTATAAGTAAATCGGTTTTTAATTGATCGATTATTTTCGATGTTTGAATAATAGATTTTAAAGGAAATAAAAAAAAATGATTTCTGGAGAATTATGTGACATCCTCTATATTAATTAATATTCCCAAAGAAAGAAACTTTAATATACCTTTTTCTGAGGTTACTATACAAAACAGCATATTTTCTCGTTTTGACTAACTTATTATATTATGTAATAGCTGTAGAAAAAATATAATGTTCAACTTACAAGATTTGTTTTGCAGTATTCGCCTGCACACATGCTATTATAATACTTGTAGACAATGAGTACCATTCCTTGCTCGATTAACAATATTTTATTTCAACATTTTATCTATAGAAAATAAAAGCTAATGAAATATTCTATAAAAGAACTATTGTATTCTCTTTACATAAAATGTCGTTGCATCTGTTTGATATTAGAAAATCACTTTAATTTTATTTCATAATACAACATTTCATTAAACACCTTTTTAGTAAATCTAATAGTTTATTATGATGGTAATAAACAAAGTCCGTCCCTGTTACAGCCTTTCTTGAGAAATTGGCAACATTCGACGCCGTATTATGTTACATCGTTACTCGTTACATCTCTGACAGCCGGTTGCAAGAACGATTGTTAAAATCTCTCGTTAGCTAAAGAACAAATAACTAACTGAGATTAAAACTGGCAACGGCGCTTTTCCAACTGACAGTCTGTCGCTTCACAGCTGATCACGGGAGATTTTTATATTAATGAAGTTAATTTGGTAATATTTTTTCGAAAACTAATTACAAATAAAGTAAAAAATGAAATTGAGGCTCAACCTTTACGGCTATGGTTAAATGTTAACACTATCCCTGTCTTTTTTCGACATCGGCTCATATTTTTTAATATACAGAAGCAAGGACAGTCGGTTCTGAGAAAAAATGTTTTACACATGAATATAATTTCTTAAAATAAATAGAATGGCTTAAATGAAGAAAAGGTTCCAAGAAGTCACTGGAAAAAGAGGAAAATACTCATTTAACTGCCCTTCTAATAGTGCCCGATTAAAAATCTGTGATTTGTGGTTTAAAGCAACAGTATTTAAATATAGTTTGTCCCTTTTATATAAACTAAAACTATTTTTTCTTGTACTTACTTTACATTTTCTCTTCCCGTTTGTCATGGAAAAGCAAATAACTATTGTCAGTTATGACGCAAATCTGATTCTGATATCTTGATTGAAGTAAATAAAATCTGCATGAATTGTTTCTCCATGGAGACGGGACGGATTTTGTTGATTCGTGGAAGACGACGACAGACATCTTGAAAAATATGATGTAAATTTGAGAACCTGAAAAGAAAATTAATTAAAAACCCTGATATATCATTCTATTTAGGATTAGATTGTTAAGAAATAAAGGTAATGTCATTTTATACTAAATTTTAATTGTCAAAAATAGTCTATACGTTGAAAAACGTACCTAGTGTGAACATCAAGTTTCGACCTGGAAATCTGGGTATGAACTTGGTTGCATATCCCATTAGATCTCTGGAATCTTACGAATATGGTGTCCTGGGTTCGTTCATTTGGAAATTCTGCAAATAAAACAAATTGTTGTGATATAGACAATCTCCACACGACAAGTGTAAGTGTTAAAACAATTTATCTTTAAATACATACCTACCTACCTGATATTGAAATCGACTATCCTTTTTTGATAATACCAAATTTGGTACGTGATTTCATTTTCGGGTGTGACTGGATGCAGGATCACTCGATATTTATAAATTTTGCTAAGGGCTCGTTGACAGGAAATTTCCTTGATAAGAGTATGAAATATTGTTTTCCGGGTATTTCTATTTTAAAAATTCAAGAAGACGAGGGGGCATTTAAAAATGTTAAAATTCAATTATATTCTGATGCGGAAATCAGTAAAAGGGTGGACGAAACTGAATCTTTCAGTGAGGTTAATAAATAAATATTGAAAGATTTATTGTTTCGAACCAACCTGGTATAATGAAGGGGTACGAACATATAATAGAACTTAGGGATGAATCACCGTTTTATTGTAAACAATATCCTTTGCTCATCCGTTTCGAAATGCAAGATTGGGGGTTATTAAAAATGTGTCAACCAGAATAAGTTAGTCCTTTGAAAAAATAAGGGAATGTTAGAGTAAAGGATAGGGTAAATATACCATTTCGGACGCGCGACATACGACAGGAGAAGCGACGGCAAAGGAGACCAAAAACGGTTTCTTCACGTCTGAACACATGTAATTATATGAAACACATTTCGCAAGGCGCGACCATCAGTGCGAGAGACAAAAGTTTACGTTAGGAAGATCGGTCTCGGGGTAGGGTTTGCTGCCTGTCGCGCAACGGTTAGTCAGCACTTGTATTTCGAGGAGATTAGTTGATATTTTATAGAAATGTGTTGCAAAGTTCTTTCGATCTATCCTGGGCAGTGTTGCCAGATAAAAATTTGCTGGAACAGTAGGGGTGGGTGAAAAAAAAACAGTAGATCTGAACAGTAGATTTTAATACAGGGGAAATAATTATAATTTGTAGTGTAGTAAATAAGTTTATAAGAAACGAAAAATAAACAGTTTTCTAACCAAATTAGAAAGTAAGCAATAAATAAACACAAAAAATTATTTTTTTATTATGTACTTAATGTTCGGA